CTCCTCCTTAGGACTGAACCTAATTTGGCCAGATGTTTCCCTGGCCCGAGTCCAAACCCTATGCTTAACCAAGTGTCATGTCTGTGCTGTTAGACAAGATTAGTACGCACACGTCAACACCAGCCGGGGGCCATGGCAGCTTTGCAACCATTCTACCTAGCCCCAGGTTTCACAGTGTTAGCCATGCCATATGCCATATGTTTGTTTGGCTGGCTTCTTCACAGAGCAAGCAAATATATGGAGCACATTTTCCATCTCTTCCACCTGGATGACCAGACTTTGCTGGGTGCCAACTATAACTCATAAGGCATCAACTTGGCAGAAGGATTTTTTGGGATGGGGGCTTTTTTATCTCTCCCATTGTACACACTCACCACTCACTACTGGACTGGGTGCAGCCACTGAATAACGTTTATTCATAACGCCTTTTCTTCTAAAGAGTGGAACATCAAATTTATATAGCCAAAAATGAAGGATAAAACACAATGCTATAAAATGCTAACATACTAAAATAACATGCTAATATACTAAAACAAATTTCTTATCAGTCAATACCCATCTTGGCCACCTTAGGCACACTCAGCAACACAATCCGGTGAATAATCAAAGAGGGATGTTTTCAACCTTTTACAAAAGCAGCTAAGATCCTCCACCAGCTGGAGGTGCAAAAGAAGACTGTTTCGCATATGCACAACCTGATCCCGTGAAAGGCTTGCAGCCTTGATAGTCATATGCATTGGTGGAACTGCCAATAATCTTTTGCCTGCAGATCTTAAATTTCACTGATACTATTCTACTCCTTTCCTGTTTTGTCCACAGGTAGCAAAATAAGTTGGGGCACCCTGCTGAATGAAGATGTGAACCTTGTTCTCCCTGGTACTAGCCAGGGGCAACTGTCCTGGCAGTGATGTTTTACACCAATTGCAAGCTCATTGAAAGGTTTTGCTGGGTTTAATCACAGTTTAAAAGCCATAGATAGTAATCTCCAAAGCAACTCTTCTTGAACTCTTCCCACACTTGGCATCCAAAACCCTATTCGGCTCTCCTCCATTCCCTTCTTTCTAACTGGACCTATCCAACCCTTTTCCTATCTGCAGTGGTCCATCTCTATTTCCAACTGACTCTATCTAGCCCTTTTTCAGAGAAGCACCTGATTTTTATATTTCTTCTCCCATAGATCCCCCACAATATTTTTAAAGCTATGATTGT